GAGGAGGAGGAGGAGGAGGAGGAGGAGGAGGAGGAGAGGAGGAGGACGCTAAATGGACGCTAACGACGCTAAGATTCGGCGCTAGCTCATCGACTGCAGAAACACTAATCGACGCTAGCCGACGCGGAAAAAATACGGAACTGAGAGGATATATCAGGTTCCCGTGATTTGCTACCGAAGAACATGGCTCGGATTTCGCGGCCGATTCTCGCATCCCAGCGGAGCTCCTTAGATGTTCGTTCTGGGGGCGCTCTTGGAACCACTCGCTCCACTCGTGCGTCGATCCTGCGTCGCACGTCCGTCGACTTGACTCGCACCTGAGTCGAACCTGAGTCGAACATCAGTCGACTTAAAATCGAACTGGAATCGAACAGATCCAGTAGGTAGGCCCCAGATAGGTCCCCAACACGTGCATCGTGCATCGGCAACTCCCCTGCCCACGCCTGTCCGCCTCGAATCGGTGTCGAATCCATGTCGGACTCGTCGGATCCGTGTCGAATCCGTGTCGAACCCGCGCCAGGCTCCCGCAACTCGTCATACAACCCCGCAGAGTGTCGAACCACGAGAAGATGCTGTAGACGATTTGTTGGGACAGGCCAGGTCCCCCGGAGATGCAACGCAAGCTTCCCTGCCCACGCCTGCTGCTCCAGCGACCCCCACCGCGGCCGCAAGCAGCTTCGCCTCAGAGAGGCGAGGCGCAGCGGTCGGTCCCAGGGGAGGGGCGACGAAGGATCCACGCGTGGGGATGGCGTTCAGGGACGGGGGGAGCTCGGCGGCGAGCGAGGGGGGGAAGCTTCGGGCTCGAGATTCGAGCGAGGCTCGAGAACGCTTTCGTCGATTCTCGGCGGTTTTCCAGCCTCGGGATGCGTTCCAGCGGCTGCGCCTCGCCGTCCCGAACGGCCGCCGGTGATGCGAGTCATGGCCCAAAAACCCAATTCGGCGGCGAGCGGAGGGGGGGGAAGTGAGAAGGAGAAGGCCTTCTCAGAAGGCAGCAGGACTTCTCAGAAGCCCTCGCGCCCCTTCTGAGAAGCTGTCAGCGTCTTCGGGGAAGGCTGAGAAAACTTCTCGGAAGGCCGGGGAACTTCCGAGCCTTCTGAGAAGGCCCGCCCCTTCTCACATCCCCCCGGGGCTCGCCGTCGAACACATGAAACAGAACTTGTGGGATGCGGGAGCGAGGAGGGGGGGGAGGGAGCAGAGAGCAGGAGGAGCACAGCGGGGCGAGGGTGAGGGCGCGACGGGAACGGGGGAAAAGGGGAGAGGGCGGAATTGGTAGGAGTGACGGCCAAGAGGTGGAGAAATGCCCAAATCCGTGACTGCACGCAGGAGTGGCCCTGGGCAGAAGTGACTCTGGTGCGCGGCTTGCTGGGGGCCGCGAGGGGGGGGGGGGGGGGCAAACACAAGCGCGCAAGGCGCTACCACCGCATCGCGGTCGGCGATCGGGGGATCCCAGAGGGCCCGCACCACAAGCCACTCTGGCGAAAGATCACTCTTACACATTGGTCGGAAAAGAGTAGGTCAAAGCACGAGTACGAAGGCGGCTAGAGCAGATTGGGTCCAGGCCCTCCCGGACACGCAACAGAACACGGCAAGAGCACACCGATTCTTGAAGTAGGAAGGCGCTGGAAAAAGATTGGAATCTCGGAACCCAGAAATACCCACTTTCAACGACCAGCGCGTAAGTGTACAGTCCGACCTTGGGACATAATAACCTCCTTCAAGAACATGAGACCCTCCTCCGGCCAAAACACACGCAGAACATCCGAGGGTACCCGCCCCAGGATGCACGAGAGCACCCAACGAACACGAAGATCACCAGGGTCCCCTCCCCGAACCGACCTCGATCTTCTACCTCGGCCCGACTATCGTTGTGGATGCCACGGCAATGGACACCCTAACAGTCCTATCATCGAATCAAACATGTGTTTAACATGTAGGAAAATGTCATGGACACGTTTACAACATGTTTTTGAACATGTTTAAAACAGTTTTAACACATGTTCGAGACATCTGGAAAGTATTTGGCAACATGCTTCCTCTCCCTTGATCGTCCTCCACAAGACTACTGTGGTCGAGATCCGACGGAACGCCAACTGCGAGGACGACGGCCCTCCAGCCCGGGCCTGAGCCGCCCAGCATCGGTCGTCCTGGAGGCCCCACTTTCGCCAAGACGAGGGGCAACACGTGCCGAGCCAAGGCGTAACGTGCCAACACGGACGTCTGAAAACACGGGACGCGCTGCGTTTCAAAATGAGCGTGCTGGGACGCACAGAGACATACTAATACTATATGGCCGCCTTGGAGGCGCGCGTCCGACCCGAACATATAGTATACCCATCTTGTAGTAGATCGTTTCTCGAGCGGTGTGGCCAGAAAGCGCCCGCCACGACGCAGATACTATAAGATTTCTCGGTGCGCGCGTCGCCCCTGGGGGGGCGACGAACATATAATCTAAGTATGTTGGGGGGACGCCGACGTGCCAGGGCAGCGAAGAGCAGAAGAGAAGGCCAAGAGGTGGAGAATGGGGAGACCAACAAATACAAATACCGCTACTCCCCGGACCTATCCTGGGGTGCGATCTGACCAGGATTCCGGGGCGAATCCAGCGGTGGCGACGAGGGCCTCCCAGGAGGCCTCAGAAACGGGAACGCGAGGGATGGGTACCGGTATGGGTACATTTCCCTCCTCCGAGAGGAAGGCCAGCATTCGGAGGCAGGCCACCTGTCATTGCACCGACCTTGCAGACGCGCTGCAGCTGAGTTTTGCGCGGATTTCTGCCAATGCGAAACCCCGGAACGGCGAGTGATAAACGCAGTGAATTTCGCGTGGATGTTTGTTGTCTTCATTCCTGGCCAACAAAAAATCCGCACGAAATCCATCTCGAAATCTGGAACGAAGTTCTCCAGGACACTCTGGGCCCATCCTGTCGTTTTCCGAACGAAATCCGCTCTGCGATGTTGGCGCGATGGCACCTGAGAGAACGACGGCCCTGAATTGAGGGATGCAAAAACGCCCCTACCCTGGGTTACGAGTGCGTGGTCCGTAAACCTCCTGGGAGCTCCCAAAGGCCAGAGAGCCGCCAGGACGCCGCGAGACACGCGCGATATGCAAGGTTTACCCTGTCAGCCCACAGGAGGCTCAGCGCACAGCGCCTCGTAAACTGAAGCCCGTGCCTCAGAAGCCGCTCGGCGTCGGCCCCCCCGACCCGTCCTGGGGGTGGGGCCCGCGCCCAGCGCCGTGGCGACGAGACGCCGCCGGGAGGCCCGACGAGGGGGCGGACACCGCAAGGGAAGGCAGCCTCTCGGGCAACACCCCAGGGTTAGGTCGGGCATGTCCCTCTACAGAGATATTTTGGACGAAAAATCAAAAACAGCCAAAACATATTCACACACATTGTCGAAAAATAATCAAAACATTGTCCCCAGACTATTGTTTTACTATTTTCGAAAATTGTTCCTGTAGAGGGACACGCCCGACTTAACCCCAGGGAGCCCACCCAAATACAGTCGGACCCGGGACAGAATAGCAGACCCTGTCGGCGTGTGCGAGGGGCTTCTCCGTTCGAGCTATCGTCTCCGTCGTCTCCTCGTCGTCTTCGTCGTCGTCACAGTCGTCTCCTCGCCGTATCCGTCGTCCCCCATCCCTTTCCCTGGGCCCTCCTCAAGCGTGCCATCCAAAGCGTAATTGTACAACGTCGTATTGGAGTCGAAGGGAAGCCCCTTCCGTTCGATCCCTCCCCCGAGGGGGGGAGGTGCCAGGGGGGGGGTCCCGGGGGGGATCGCCACCCAGATTCGCTTTCCCCCGGGCGGCCCCGACGTATCGAACAGCTCCAAAAAGAACCCAGAATGCCGAAGATGGCTCCCAAGATTGCCCTTAAGAGCCCCGTGTCGCTCAAAGATCGGCCCAGCACGGCCAAGATGGCCCCAAGACGATCCAAGAAGCCTCCTAGACGTCCCAGGAGCTCTCCAAGAACACCCCCACCAAGGCTCCAAGAGGCTCCTCCCCTCCTCCTCTTCCTCCTCCTCCTCTCCCCCTCCTGCTCCCTCATCCACCTCCAGCACCCCCTTCCTCCTCCTCCTCCTCCTCCTCCTGCCACTCCTCCTCCCCCTGCACCCTCCCCTTCATCTTCGTCGTCTTCAGGGTCGGCGGCACCGGCCGTAAAGCTTTCGCAATACTGTCGGGCCTTGGACGTAATAGCAAATCTCAAGAACAGAGGCGCGGACCCAACGCCGTGGCGACGAGGAGACGCCGCCAGGAGGCCCGACGAGGGAACGGACACCGCAGTGGAATGCAGCCGTTCGGGCGAAACCCCAACGAAGAAGACAAAAATACATAAGCATACACTTTTGGCGCTCCGAGCGGATTTCTTGTGTCTGCGCTGGACATCCCTCCTTGGCGCGCGGAGCGCGCCAGGGGCTGCGCCGGAGGCACCGCCGGGGAGGCCCAGTGCGGATCCAAGAAATCCGTGCGGAGCGCCAACAGTTTATGTTTATGCATGTTTTCCTTCTTCGGTCCAGGGAGCCCATCCAAACACGGTCGGACCTAGGACAGAATCACATCCTTCAAGGGGCATGAGGACCTCCGCCGGACAAAACACGCAGAACATCCAAGGGTACCCTCCCCAGGATGCACAACAACATCCAGCAAGCACGAATAACGCTAGGGTACCCTCCCCAAAGCGACCTGAATATTATACCTCGGTCCGACTGCAGATGGGGTCAGAGGATCTCGCCGCATCGCCGATACAACGGCGATGCATCGCCGATGCATCAGCCATGAACTGGCGACGTCGGCGATGCATCGGCGACGTCGGCGTGGAGAAAATTGGGCCCCACATCGAGCCGCATGACTGATGCATCGCCGATGCGACGCGGCCTGATCCTCCAACCCCATCTACTCCGACCCCATCTAGGAGGCCTAGAATACTTTGAAGCTGCTTGCGTAGGAAGCCCTAATTACAAGCACTGTTTTGGAACACATAGCTGTGCCCGAGCAGGCACCCGCAGCGAATGTTCCTGGGCAATCGTAGAGGGACTCGTGAACCGATGTCTGCGCAGATGTTAAAACAATACTCCCTTTGTGCACCGCGGGGTCGTGGGACGTGGAGGTCCAGGAGCCGACTCGAACCACCATGGAGCGGCAGCTGAGGGAACAATGCAACCAGACTCTAGGATCTACGTCTTATGTTGCTCCCAAAAATACTCAATGACCACATCCCATAAATAATTTCAAGGACCTGGGAAACGATCGAAACAATGTCGAAGGAATATCGCCCCCCAGGGTCCGACACGTGACAACCCTCCAGTTTCGGTACTTTCGTGGTGCTCGAAATTCTGTCTGGTGGTCAAGGCTCAGTAAACTGGAACATCAGAATCTGCGTCCCGCAGTCGTGGAGCAACTGCGAGCAAGGCACGTCACATTTTCTTGTAAAACATACAGACATCGCGCCACCAAACTCTGGAACGCGGAAGAGGGCACGGGCGGGCCTTGTCTGGCCACGGGGAGCCGCGGCCACGAAGAGGCTGACCCGACCCAGACCTGAGCAACGGCCCCGAGCCCGAAAACCCAAGCCCCCCTTGAGCCCACCGAGGTTCTCAAACGACCTGTGTCGTCGTGATGCCTGTTGCAGCGTGGACCCCCCAGTGGTCTCGCCAGCTTCCACTCAGGAGAACACTTATAGATATTGGGGGGAAGGGGTGGGGAGGATCAAGGGTAGGGGCAGCAGCATCCGGATGCAATAAACGATACCTTCGGCCGCCTACGGGTAAGAACATCCCCTTCTCTCCAAACCCCATCCTCCCAACCCGATAATTAATTGCCTTCCTGATGCACTGGACCTGCTTTTAATCCAGAAGCCCGAGGCGGCCAAAAAGCTTTCATCTTGGTTTTTGTCAGAGCGAGAGGCGGGCTTGCTGCCGGATCATACAATCCGGTCTCTGGGGGTGACCCGCAACTTCTGGAACGTGTCCCGAGTTTGGAGAGTCTCCGGGAACCTACGAACACTTAAAAACTTGCCAAAACGTTCGCGACGCAAGTGATCAGCAATTAACGGAACCCTCACTCTTTGGGAGGGGGCTAGGAGGTCCAACACATTAGGGACAGGCTGTCTTTTTCGCAGATGAACCAAGCTAAATCGCTCATATCTCTTTATCACTGATGCAAAGAAGGGGGCCTCATTAAGACTACGCGTTCATGGTGGTATGAGGATCAGGGGTTCGAATATGGAGAGGGCATTAGATAGGGAACTATGGAAAAAGGCACTCAGGGTCTGAAGCCGGTGGAACTGCAATCGCGGACGGGCCATGGATACCCTTGCCGCCCTCATCAGGCCAGGAACCCTCCAGGCTTGAGCCTCTGAGCGCAGTCCTCCACGGACGACCCCACCATGTTTGGGCGGCGAGCGAGAGGGGAAACGAGAAAGAGAAGGCCTTCGCAAAGGCGGTGGGACTTCTCAGAAAACCTCGCGCCTTCCGAGAAGCTTTCTGTGTCTCCGGGGAAGGCTTAAAACACTCAGAAGGCCGGGGGACTTCCGAGCCTTCTGAGAAGGGCCGCCCCATTCACACTTCCACCCCTAGCTCGCCGCCGAGTGTTGGGCCCAGTGGGGGCGGAGGAGGAGGAGAGAGGAGAACTAGGAGGAGGCAGGAGGGAGGAGGTAGGAGGAGGAGGTAGGAGGAGGAGGAGGAGGAGGAGGAGGCGGAGGAGGAGGAGGAGGAGGAGGAAGAGGACAAGGAGGAGGAGGAGAAGGAGGAGAAGAACGAGGAGGAGGAGGTCGAGGCGGAGGAGGAGGAGGAACGCGAGACTGTCACGAGTCGGGCCACCCTGCGAGCCCCTGGCCCTGGCCCTGGCCCCGTCGGCGCGAGCGCGCGAGCGCCAGGCGCCTGCAGCTCGCAGGCCCAGCACTGCAGGCTGCGCCGCGCCTGTAGGGGGCGGCTGTGGGGGCGCCGCCGTCGTGGACCCCCTGGATCTCGGGGGTCCCAGAAGAATGGCTCCTACGGTCGGGAACGAACATATCTAGCTGAGACTGTATTGTCTTAACACGTCGGGCTTATGTTCTCAGAACACGGTCTTTGTTCTCAGAACATGTCTGGGTGCTGGCAACATGTCGTGGTTAGGCCTAGAACAATGCCAGGACGTTCGGTCCCTGCTGCATGTTGCATGTGTGCTTCCGCTTCCCCCGTCCCTGAACGGCATCCCCACGCGTGGCTCCCCCATTCGCCCCTCCCCCAGGGCCGAGCGCTGCTCATCGCCGCCGTGAGGCCGAGTTGCTGGCGGCCGCGGTGGGGATCGCTGGAGCAGCAAGCGCGGGCAGTGAAGCTCCGCTGGGATGCGAGAATCTGCGTTGGAAGCCCAAACCTACCTACTCCTAGACGGCCAGCATCTGGGGGCGATGCCAGGTACCGCTCTCGCGTCCTAGCCAAAAGCGTCCATGGAAACATGGGATTCCGTGACGTCCATGGACACCTTCGGGGTGGATGTGCCTATGGACAACGCGGCAGTTGAGTGCGGCGCGGTGCAAAGTCGGGGAAAAGGGTAGATCCGTCCACGGTATGTTCCTGTTCTAGAGCAGGTCCCACATGGCACTCCACTGTTTGCATAGCTGGGCGGCGAGCGATGAGGGAAGTGAGAAGGAGAAGGCCGCGACTTCTCAAAGAATCCGTGGCGCCTTCTGAGAGGTTTCCCGTGTCTGCGGGGAAGGCGTAGGTCGGGCATGTCCTCTTACATGCGGGTTTTGGAAGACAAATAAATAATCAGAACATGCTCTAAAACAGGGAAAATAATCAAACATCGTCCCCATGATATGTGTTGAACTCTTGTTGTACTCCTTCTGTAGAGGGACACGCCCGACTTCAGGGAAGGCTTGGAAACCTTCTCGGAAAGCCAGGTGACTTCGGAGCCTCCGTGGATGGCCCGCCCCTTCTCGCTTCCCCCCCTCGCTCGCCGCCGAGTGTTGGGCTCAATGGGGGGCGGAGGAGGAGGAGAGAAGAGAAGTGAAAGGAGGCAGGAGGGAGGAGGTAGGAGGAGTAGGAGGAGGAGGAGGAGGAGGACCGCGGAGCCGGAGGAAGAGGAGAAGGACCGCGGAGGAGGAGGAGGCAGGAGGGAGGAGGTAGGAGGAGGAGGAGGAAGAGACAGCGGCTCCCTTCGTGTGGAGCTCGTGCATGGCATGTCGCCACGCCCCGTTGGGGCTGGGGAGCTCGGACCCGCTCGGCGCGTGGGCGCCTCGGGGCCGCGACGCAGACGGCGCGTCGCACCGAGGCGCCGTGGGCCAGAGCCAGCGGAGCGACACGCTGCAGCGGAGCCCGGTCCACGAGAGGAACCTTCCACGAGAGGAGGAGGAGGAGGAGGAGGAGGAGGAGGAGGAGGAGGAGGAGGAGGGAGGAGGAGGAGGAGGAGGAGGAGGAGGAGGGGAGGAGGAGGAGGAGGAGGAGGAGGAGGAGGAGGAGGAGGAGGAGGAGGAGGAGGAGGAGGAGAAGGAGGAGAAGCTCTTCGCGAGCTCTTCGGTCGGTGACTTCGTCACTCCCCCGCTTGGGTCGCCGTCGGCGCACGGGACCCAGGACATCCATCGAGTTTTGGTGCGGGAGCGTCACGCTCTCCATCGCAAGGTCCGTCGAAACCCAAGAGACCCAGGGCACCCTGGAGGCTAGCGGGGGGGTTCTTGGCATGGCCTCCACTGTATCCAGAGGTTCCCGACCGTATCTTCGCGCTCCGCGCGGCGCGAAGCGCGAATCGCGATGCGCGATTCCGCGACCACCCCGCGGGGAACAGGAGGGGAATGCGAGGGACGAGGAGGACGAGAAATGCAGAGGACGCGGGAGAGAAGACCCCGACCGCCAAACAGCGAGGCGCAGATGACGCTGCGCCCTCGAGGAGGCCCTCGCAGGATGGCGCGGCGACTGACCGTGCGCTGACCTCGAGACCCCGAGGACCCCACTCTGCACGGCCGGTCCCCGCACGGTTGTTTGTGGACCTCGGAGGCCCCAGCCGCCCGAGGCATCCTCGGAGGACGACCCAGATCCTGGAGTGCGGTCAGCCCAAACCACCACTGACTCACCACACGGTGTGGCTACCGCAGCGCCCCCGAGGATCGCCGACGATGGGGCTTGTCCTACCTGCGGTGCTGGGTCCTCGCTATGCATCCGCTGCGCCCCTTTTGTCTCATCCTCATCCGCGCCTCCTCCTCCTCCTCCCATTCCTCCTCCTCCTCCTCCTCCTCCTCCTCCTCTCCTCCTCTCCACTCCTCCTTCCTCCTCCTCCTCTCCTCCTCCTCCTCCTCCTCCTCCTCCTCTCTCCTCCTCCTCCCCCTCCTGCCTGTGCCCTTGCATGCCTCTCCTACGGCACATCAAGTCGCACACAGCGGCCGCCAAGAGCAGCCAATGTTTGGTCTGTAGGGGGGGGGGGGGGGGGGGGGGCGCGTTGCCGATCGGCGAAACAATACAAAACAAGAGCTCCCTATGCCATCCGCGTGACTCTGCTTCGACACACCCCTCGCACGTCTCGTAGCCCCTCGGTCGGGGGGGCGTGTGTGGGTGGGGTAGGGGCATAGGTGGGGCTGGAAGAAACGGCTCCTGGACGAAGGAATTGTGAGCATATGCGTCGTGTTTTTGTTGCGCAGCGTCGACCCCCAAAAGTCTGGACCCCTTCTTCGAGACCAGTTTTTCATCCTGAATTGTTTTCGGACGGTCCAGAAGCCCTGTTAAGGGCCCCAGGGAGCCGAAAATAGCGAAACAACTCCCGTCGTGATTGTTTCACAACGCGAGAGGGGGGTCTGGGTCGACGAACCCCCGACTCGGGGAGCTCCCCCAAGCTCCACTGGGCCAAGGGGGGAAACACTGCACAACAGGGGACCCCCACCTCCGACGGCGCACGCACTTCTTTTTCCGAGCCATCCCGTATGGTGCCGGGCCGGCCCTCGTTTTGAGGGGCGCCCTCCCCCTCGTCAGGGATTTTTCTCGCAATGTGACGACTCGCAAAGTGACTACTCGCACAGTGACTACTCGCCGAGCGCGTTCCACTACTCGCAAAGTGACTACTCGCAAATGACCTGGATCTGCCGCTGGGGATTTACGACCCACAACGTCGAGACAAGCATTGTGTGTCGGACATTTCCATGTAGGCACTTGCGAATGGTGGAACGCGCTCGGCGAGTTAGGGCTACCCAGACATGCGACCTCATGATTTTTTCGAGACGCGGTCCCTGGGCGAGGGGTGGGCGATGAATGCGGGGGGGGGGGGGGGGAAATGCATTTCTCGGGTCCCAAGGCCCCCGCCGCTTACCAGGAGGCGATAAATGGTGGGGGGAGAAAGGTACACTTGGGCCCTAGAAGCCCCCCTTATAAAACCCTTACGGGTCCTTTTGGGGGCCCTTTGGGGCCATGGGGGCCCTGAAGGGTTCCTTCTCTGCAGCCCTTGCTGCCCCACCTTCTTTGTCGCCCCCCCTATTTACGCGACGCGCAGGGCAAGTTTGTTCATCCTGTGTCGTTGTGTTGACGGTCCTGGGGCCCGGCGAGGGCCCCGAGGGCGAGGGGCCTGAACCAGCGAATAAACCTGCCGTCCTGATCGCTTCACGACGCGAGCGTGTCTGGGGAACCGACAAACACTGCACACACACAAACCTTCAGAGGTCCGCGCGGATTTCTGGAATCCGCGCCCGAATCCCCTCTCCCTGGCGCGCAACGTGCGCGCGCCAGGGCGGCGCCAGTGGTGGCGCCAGAGGGTCCCAGCGCCGACCCGAGCACTCCGCGCGAACCTCGGACAAATTATGTTTGTGCGCCGTGGGCGACGAAGGGTATACGCGAGATGGCGCAGCGACCTTCCGCCTTTCGCGGCAGCTTTTGCGCGGGCCGTGGGCGCGACGGCACGCTGCGCAAGAAACGAGGGCGCTTCTGACGCACGAGCCTTGCGCAGGCAACTTACGCGCCACCGTCGGAGAAGACGATTCCGTTGCGTGCATCGCTCATGTAAACGGCTCCTACACGCAAGAGCTACCCTGGGCAAGAGTGACCTTTGCTGCGCGGATTGCGGGGACCGCGGGGAGGCCGAATCAGAGCGCGCAAGACGCTGCTATCGCGTCGCTTTCAACCATCTGGTGAACCCCGTGTACCCGCGCCAAAGGTCACTCTGGCGAAAGGTCACTCTTACGCGTAGCCGATACAAAGGCCCAGGGAGACAGACATATAAATCGGCATGAATTCAAAAGCCCCCACAACTTCCCTCCTCTCCCTGCATGTGCCGCTTCTTCTCCATTTCCCAAATTCATCCGTGAGAGGACGAGGAGGAGGAGGATGAGGAGGCGGATGAGGCGAAGGAGGATGAGGAGGCAGAGGAGGAGCGTTTCTTTGTGTGTTGTGCTGAAGTGTCCCTCCTGAAAGTTGTTATTCGCCCCCTCGTGGCGGAGCTCGGCGCGAGCCTGGGGAGGAAGGCGGACGGGGCGGGCCTTCGCGGAAGGCTTGGAAAGGCCTCCCGCCCACTCAGAAGTTCCCTAGGCCTTCTCCGAAGGCAGAGACGACTTCTGCGAAGGCCGGAGGGCGTCGGAGAAGCCCCGCCGCCTCATGAGAAGGCCCGCCCCATTGGAGGAGGAGGAAGAGGAAGAGGAAGAGGAAGAGACAGAGGAAGAGTAAGAGGAAGAGGAGGAGGAGGAGGAGGAGGAGGAGGAGGAGGAGGAGGAGGAGGAGGAGGAGGAGAAAAAGGAGTTTTCGGGTCATAACTCGGCTCTCCGGCGTCGACGGTGCGAAGCTGAACTGGAGCACCGCCCCACACCGACGGAGACGCCCGAATACCTCAAGCCTCGAACTCGAAATGCCCTCCTCCTCGACCCTCCCCTGGTGGTGGGCTTGTCTTCCGCCACCATTAACACAAGTGGGAGGGGGAGGGGGTCCTCCTCTTCTTCTTCTTCTTCCTCCTCCTCCTCATCCCCCACCTCCATCCCCCCTCCAACTTATGTTGTGGATGCCACGACAATGGAAACCCTAACAGTCCAATCATTGAGTTTTAATGATGCCGGAGAAAAGCCCCAGTCAGATTTTTGTTAGGGCTATAGGGCTATAGGGTTATAAGGCTATTGGGCTATAGGGCTATACGGCTATCGGGCTGTAGGGCTATCGGGCTATAGGACTGTGACCTATAGGGCCATAGGGCTATAGGGCTATGGGGCTATATAGCTATATGGGCTATGGGGCTATAGGGATATAAGGCTATTAGGACTATAGTGATATAAGGGCTATAAGGCTTACAGGGCTATAGGGCTATACGGCGCTTAGGGCTATAGGGCTACCGGGCTATTGGGCTATTGGGCACCTGGAACCCGGGCACCCCCGGGCACCCCGGGCACCGGGCACCACCGGCCACCGAAATCGGCCACCCGGGCACCCCCGCGCACCCGGGCACCCGGCCCCGGCCACCGAAATCGGCCGATCACCTCACATCAGCTTTATATCCGCTAGGACCCTACAGAAGCAAGCTCTGATTGGGGAAATATGTGTAAAATGTCGGAGAATGCCCTGAACATGTTTAAAACATGTTTTACATGTTTAAAACAATGTCAACACATGTTCTAGACATCTGGTAATCATTCGGCGACCTGCTTCCTCTCCAGTGATCGCCCTCCACAGAACTTCTGGCGATGGCGGCGGTGGAAGACAGGCCCGTCCCCCGGGCTCGCCCTCCGAGCAGGGGCGTGCGCGGCTGCAGCAGGGGGGGCCTCGCCTGCGCCCTCCCCGGCGGCATGGGCGCGGCGGGCGCGGGCCCGCCATGGGGGCGCCCCCCCGCGCCGGGGGGGGGGGGGGGCGCGGCGGTCGCAGAGCTCCTGCCCCTGGGCAGCAGCGCTCCAGGCCGTACGCCACCACCGGCCCTGGCACTAGAACGACGCGAAGATCGGGACAAAATCGGATCGGGATAACTCGGAATCTCTGAGAATCGGCGGGTTTGGAGGATGTATTGGGCGCCGCGGCCGCTCCAGAGCGTTCCGGAACGCTCTGAGAGCGCTCCGGAACGCTCTGGAGCGATCAATCCCGATCCTAGCCCTGTTTTAGGTGTGCAGGCCCTCCTGGCCGAGGCCTGGAGGTCTATACACCAGTCCAGGGGCGCCAGGATGGGCCTGGCAGGGGCTGGTGGTGGTGTATTGTTCGCGTCCCTCCGACTTGGGTGGGACGCACAGAGACATACTAGTACGATGCGTCCTCCTTGGAGGCAGGCGTCCGACCCGAACATCTAGTGTACCCATCTTGTAGCACATCGTTTCCCGAGCGGTGTGGCCAGAAAGCGCCCGCCACGACGCGTGTGCTGTGAGGCTCCTCGGTGCGAGCGTCGGCCCTGGGGGGGCGACGCACATGCAATAGTATAAGTATGTTGGTGTGACGCCGGCTGGGCGGCTCCTCGGAAGAAGCTGGAGCGTCCAGCAGGGATCTTTGATGATGGTAACATTGGTTTCCCTAAGATTGACTTCAACACCAATATCGGCGGTGTTCCTCCACCGAGGGAAGAAGATCCTGGTCTCGGTGATGGTGGTAATATTCTGGCTTCCAAGGTGACCCGAATATTACCACCAACACCGAAATCTAGGATCATCTCCCCCTTGTGGAGGCAGCCCCCTGTCTTGGTGTTGGTGCCCATTTCCAGGCCTCCAATAACAAACGTTGGGGGGCGCTTGTTTAGCGCGCTCGAGATCGACGCTGTTGTTCGTTCCGTGTGGGGCTCCGTCTGTCGCTCCCCCGTGCGAGGATCCTCGCTCGCGCCGTGTTCGGTTCGGTTCGGTGTTGTATAGCTAGGGGGAAAACAAACCTACCTCGCTTTTGACCACCCTCGCTTCCAAGAGATACCAAACGATGCCAAACTACGGCCTGTACTGGTCAGGCCGCTTGACGAGGAGGCGCGTGGTATGACTTGGTTTTGCCTGGAAGCGAAAGCGGGTAGGTAATTCATGCTCTGAATAGCCGCATGTCTGATTCATGATTTGGCCGCCGTTGCTTTCTCCGTTTTGGTTGGCCGAGCATTGGAAAGTTGAAAAACTCAAGGCAGGGCCAAGGGCTATGTTGCTGAATGGTGTTGTTGGGGACCAAACTGTAGGAACTCGCGAACCACACTCCCCCACACTCCCAGCCTGCGCCCGAAGCGAGCGAGCACGACACAGCGAATTGCAGGAAAGCGCGAGCCACGCGTTCCCACACCACCGAAACCTGCACCGCCGTCACCCGCATCGCCGCTAGCCCGTCTACGGCAGGTTCGTGTCGTGCCGACCCCAGCGTTGGTTTTTGACACCACAGGGATCGTTCAACCTTGAACGATAGGCCGCTGCCGCAACGTCCGATCGTTCAACATCGATCGATTCTGGGTCGCCGGCGGCGTTCAACCTTGAACGCCCGCGCTGGGGTCGCCGCTGGTCGACACGACGCAAACCTACCGTACCGAAAACTGAGCAAAACCACCAACACCGCCCGCGGCGTTTGCGGCATCGGCTGAGAGCGGGCCACGCGCCCCCACGGACTATGGGGGCCGCGGATGTGGCGCGAGGGCGCCCGCTCCGCGGACCAGGGCAAGACCGCCCCCCGAGACGTAAGGCCAGTGCCGCCTCCTGTTCTGGAGGTCGGAAAAAGGGGTATGGTAGAAAGGGGGGTGGCGCCAGTTCCACAAAAAAAGGGGCATCTGGCGCTGCCATTTCTCGCAGATGGCATCGCCATTTCCGCGATTGGCACCATACCCCTTAATGCCACTCCCCTTTTCCGACCTCCAGACATGCGGCGACGGGGCGCACGGGCCCCGCATGGAAGCGGGACCCAGCTCGACTCCATGCGCCTTCATCCATGTTGGCGTGTCCTAGATCTCGAGGCGCAGGATGGACATGCTGGCGCTGAAGCGCTGTGCGCCCCCCCCCCCCCCAGGAGGCGCACGCCAGCACCGAACACGGGAATGAAAAGACACGTATGTCATGACACATCGTTTTCCAAGCAGCGTGGCCCGAGAGCGCCAGCCACGGCTCTTGCCCCCCCCAACAAGCGGCATTTGCACTTCTAGGGGGCACACAAACCTACCTCGCTTTTGACCACCCTCGCTTCCAAGAGATACCAAACGATGCCAAACTACGGCCTGTACTGTGGTAAGGCCGCCCGACGAGGAGGCGCGTGGTATGACTTGGTTTTGCCTGGAGGCGAAAGCGGGGTAGGTACAATTCACGCTCTGCACCTCGGTGCTCTTGCTTCTCTCGACGAGAAGGCGCGTGGTATGACTCGGTTTTGCCTGGAGGCGAAATCGGGGTAGGTACAACTCACGCTCTGCACTTCGGTGCTCTTGCTTCTCCCTTCCTCCTCCTCCTCCTCCTCCTCCTCCTCCTCCCCCTCCTCCTCCTCCTCCTCCTCCTCCTCCTCCTCCTCCTCCTCCTCCTCACCCTCCTCCCCCTCCTCTCTCCCCCTCCGCCTCCTCCTCACCTCCTCCCCTCCTTCTCTCCCCTCCTCCCCTCCTCCCCCTTCCTCCTCCTCTCCCCTCCTCCTCCTCCTATCCTCCTTCCTCCTCCCCTCTCCTCCTCCTCCTCCTCCTCCTCCTCCTCCTCCTCCTTCCTCCTCCCTCCTCCTCCTCCTCCTTCCTCCTCCCTCCTCCTCCTCACTATCCTCCTCCTCCTCCCACGCCTCTCCTCCTCCTCCTCCTCTCCTCCTCCTCCTCCTCCTCCTCCTCCTCCTCCTCCTCCTCCTCCTCCTCCTCCTCCTCCTCCTCCTCCTTCTCCTCCTCCTCCTCCTCCTCCTCCCCCTCCTCCTCTCCTCCCTCCTCCTCCTCCCTCCTCCCTTCCTCTTCCAGGGGACTGGGCCCGTGGGCGGGCCCCGGCGGCCCCGTTCCCGCCTTCGCCGTCGCACCCTCTCGCCGAACCAAAAAAAAAAAAAGCCGCGCGCGGGCCCCGGCGGCCCCGCTCCCGCCCGCCGCCGCCGCCCCGCCGCCGTCCCCTCCTTTGCCCCGCGATCGCACCGCACTGCCGTCGCACGGCGCGGCAATCGCACGGCACTGCCAGTCGCACGGCGCAGCACCGCCAATCGTGTGGCACTGCGCTGCTGCGCATCGCGCTGCGCCGTGTCGCGTCGCGTTCGCATCGCTTCGCAGCTTGTCGCCCTGCTCCCCGCTTTGTCTTGCCCTGCACCACGAAAGGTGAGTGCGCCACAGGGATTGCATCACCTGGACTGCACCGCGCACGTTGCGAGGAGTCACTGTGTGGGGTCCACGCTGGCCAACATTTGTCCTGCAAGGCCTCGGAGCGCACGCTTCTCACCGTGAGGGCTGACGCGCACACCTTCTAAGCAGGCCTGGGCAGTGCCGATGCATGGAGAGGTCGGGGTATCCACGGGCAGGCGCACTGTAGTTGATGCCCTGTGGTTGGTGCCTCATTGCCCTAATGCGCCTCTCTACGGCCAGAAGCTTTTGCTCAGCGTCTCGGGGCGGCGGCCCCGGCGACACGCTGTGCCCTGAACGCGGACAGCGTCGCTCCGCTTTCCGGGGCGGGGGGCTCGGAGAGGCTCGGGACGCCGATGCTCGGGACCCAGACGTGGTCAGGGTGGAGGCCAGTCCACAAGAAACCTTCCACAAGAAACCCAACCCTGAACACCCAGGACGTCCATTGATTTTTCGCGTGGGAACGTCGCGCTCTCCATCGCAAAACCATCGAAACCCAAAAAGCCCAGGGCACCCTGGAGGCAAGCAGGGTGTTTCGTGGCATGGGTCTCCACTGTGGGGTGTCGCGCCGTGACACGCGAAGCCAACGTTCCTGACAGTATACCGCCTGCCTACACATGATGAAACTCATGGCCTGAACAACGGAAATGCCAGAATCTACCTAGCATGGTCCACATGCTGAAATCCTTGCCATAGAGAGGGAAAGGATGCGAGGGAGGGAGATAGCTGTTGGGCAGTAGCGGTGCCACTATCCGAGGAGCGTGCCCCCGATGACGGCATCGAGCACTGCCACGTGTTGCTGTGCAACTCGGCGGCGGGACCCGACTCACCTTGCCAATCCGAGGTGCTCGAATATCCAGCTCCCGCGGGCGATGGAGGGCCTGCAGGCATGGCACGCGGCAGGAGAGGTCTGCTGCATTTTGCTGCGCCGCGGGAGACACACAAATGGTATGGATAATAGCGGTCAAGACGCTCAGTCGAGTACGCCTAAAAGGTATCTAGGGCCACACGGCACTCACTGTGATAAAAATATTGTTCAGCCTGGTCTGTGAAAAAGCGCAAAGCGACAGCACGCGGAGACGAGGAACAGGATACGACAAGGAAACATTGACATACAGTAGGACTCGACCACAAGAAGCCTTCCACAACAAACCCAACCCTGAGGCCCCAGGACGTCCATTGCCTTTTGGTGTGGGAGCGTCAGAAATTCCATACCAGAGCCATCGAAACCAAAGAAACCCAGGGCTCCCTGAAGGCAAGCAGGGTGTCTTGCCATGGGTGTCCACTGTATGACTGGGCGAGGAGATCTTAACTTCGGTCGGGCCTGTCCTTCTACAGGCGGATTTTGGACGAAAAAACAAAAAGTGGTCAAACCATGCTTAAACACATGTTAAAATCAATGAATAGGTTTTGAATGCTCCTCCTGTAGAGGGACATGCCCGACTAAAATCTTGACACATGCACCACCCCTGCCAAGCCCATCCTCGGCCCAGCATCGTATCGGACGCCTCCCCGGCCGAGCCAGCACGGCGTCTACACCGACATGCAGGGCCCAGGCTGGGCCTGGCCAAGAGCGGAGCACGTGTACAGATCCCGTCGCCCGGTATTCATCGCACGGTGGGGGCACTGGATAAGGAACAGGAGCTCTTAGATAAGGAATCCAGGGT